TGCAGGTGAGACGATTCAGTTCATAACATCCGCCTTCCTCTCCACTCTGATCCCCGGGTCCCCACTGCCCAACCTAGGCTTTCTCGGGGACAGCCAGGTTCCCTGCTCCCAGGGGAGCTCATGGAGGAGGTGACTCTCCAGAGAGAAGTGAGAGGGAGGGAAGGATGGCTGATCCTGCTGGGGGTCTGTCCTGAAGGAGCAGAGACTGGAGCCCCCCAACCTTCCCTCCCCAGCTTAAGCCCAGTCCCACCTCTGCCTTTGAGCATTTCTATGCATCTATGGGACAACCTGGTGCGAGAACCAGGAGAATGCCAACCTCTCGGTCCTTCTGTGGGTTCTTCACACCACTCTTCAATGCTGCCCCTTCAGCTGGAGAAGCGAGAAAGGACCCTCTGCCACCCTGGGGCAGAAAGATATCAAACTGTGGCTCCCTGGTTCCTCCAGGCTGACTTGGAGGTCTCAGAACCCCACCTCAGAGTGTGGGCCACCCTCGGGGGCAGAGCACCCTTTGAACCTCAAAGCCAATCCCTCAGATGTGGAACTGAGAAGGCCCCCCGGTACCAGGCGAGGACAGCTTGGCAGGTCTAACCACATTGACAGGAAGAGGTGGAAAGTGAGGTCAGGGGACCCTTCAGTGACCCTGCCTGTCGAATGACCCTTCCCTTTCTGGAGGCAGCTGTCAAGAGGTTCCTGGAGGTGTTCATAAGATCATCAGCCCCTTTCTCCCCTTGTCCCCAAACCCTCAGGGTTCTCTCTTTTTCTCTTCACAGGAAAAGTTCTTCCAGGACCAGTCCTTCTTTACTGACGGTCCATCCTGCCCAACCCAGTCTAGTCTTGCCTTCGTTCCCACATCACTCTAACTGTTCCTGTCAAGGTCACCAAAATCTCAAACGGCTAACACCCGCAGATCATTTCTGCTCTCATTTTATGTGGATGCCACCTCATTTGACAGCATTTGATGTGCACAGCCACTCATTTCTTGTAGCACTGCAGTCTGGCGCTGCCATCTTGGTCAAATCTGGGACACCATCCACATATTCTAGCCAAGTCACATCTTTCTCTCCAAGTTCCTTCCCATAGCTGCCTGTGCTACAGTTTAGGACGCCGGCTCCAGGGGGCGCTCCATTCCACCAGTACAGAATGACCCCTGTGAAGCCGGGGCACCAGGATCTGTGACAATTTGCGTTCCAGAGAAGTGCAGCTCTACAGTGGTTCTTTCCCAGTTCTGGACACATTTGAAAATGTTGCTTTTCTGAAAAGGCTGCATTCATTCTCACTGCACCTACAAATTATGACTGTGCCTTTTTCACTGCACTTCAATAGAAGCTGTTGCCATGACCATCCCACTACCCCCTGCAAACCCACCCTCCCCCCAATTTAAAACACTTCAATATCTTCCCACTCTCACTTTCTGAAGTGACTTCCACCCAGACACACTCATCATGTGATGTCCACAGAAGACAATGCATTCCCTCGGTGTCTTAGTCCCTCCTGGCTGCTATCACAGAATACCACCACAGACTGGGTGGCTTATGCAGCAAACATTCATTTCTTCACAGTCCTGGAGGCTGGAAGTCCAAGATGAAGGCACCGGCAGACTTGGTGTCTGCGAGAGCTCACTTCCTGGTCTTCTCCCTCTGTCCTCACATGGTGGAAGGGGTAAGGGAGCTCTCCTGGGTCTCTTTTATAAGGACACGAATCCCCTTCATGAGGTCTCCACTCTCATGACCTAATTAACCACCTCCCAAAGGTCCCACCTCCTAAAATCAAAACATTGAAGGTTAGGTTTCAGCATACAGTTTTTTGAGGAGACATAGCCTATAGCATGTGGGGTTATTCAGGTCACATCTTTGCTCTTACTGCAGGGGCTCTTAGCTGGGCCTTCATCCTTTTCTCTTCAAGTCAAGATAGTATATTATGAGGCAAAAAGGTGAGTGAACTACTACAATAGGATAACCTGGCTTCACTAATTTCCAGTAAAGGAAAAATTTTGCAAGTTCAGTACTTTATGATTAATTATGATTGCTACTCACTGGTGTGTGTGTGTGTGTGTGTGTGTGTGTGTGTTACCACTCAGTGTGGCGTGTGAAGTATTCATTTTCCAAAAGCAAATACCAGCTCTTTAGGTTACCACCCAAGGCTGTCTGTGATCTGAGCCCTGTTGATGTCTCCAGCTTCCTATCTTCATAGTCGATTACTTTAAATTTTTTTCTTTTCTTTTTAAAGATTTTATTGGGGAATCGGAGAAGGGGAACAGACAAGTTTCTGTCCTTTTGTTCTTCAGTCTAGTTGTGGAGGACACCGCTTTACTGGCCCATGTTGGTATTATGATCATTGTGCTCTTCCTGGCTGAGACAATCGATCGCCCGCCATTAAACAGCCGCTCACAGCGGCTCACGGCAGCTCTCACCGGCTATCTATCGGCTGCTCACGCTGGCTGCCAGCCACTTACGGTAGCTCATGGCAGCCCACTGCAGCAGGGGATGCAGCCTACTCCATTGCCAGCCACTCATGGCAGGCCAGTGCCAGGTCGAGCTGTTGTTCACCATCTTAGCTGTAGAGGGTGCAGCATCACTGGCCCATATGGGAACCGAACCAGTGGCTCTGCTGCTTAGAGCTGGCGCTCCCAAGCCAACTCTTTACCAACTGAGCCACTCGGCCGGTCCTAAATTTTTTTCTTTTAAGAAAGAGTAAAGCAGCTCCTGCTGGCACTCACAGCCAGGCCCTGCTGTTCTCCCACTGAACATAAACAACATCACAGGGTGTCACAGCAGACAAGGCCATTGTGACCATGGTGGAACAAGACCACCCCAGTCATATCTCAGCACAGACACAAACAAGAACATAATCTAAGCCACAAAATGACCAAACACACCCTTATCCCGAGTAACATGAATGACTGAGGTTTATTGACCAACTACAGCTTCAGCTTCTGCTGTGGACTGAATAATGTGCCCCACATTCATATGTGGAAGCTCTAACCCCAGTGTGATGGTGTTTGTCAGTGAGGCCTTTGGAAGGTGACTAGGTCATGAGGTGGAGTCCTCATGAATGGGATTGTGCCCTCACAAAAGGGACCCCAGAGAGCACTATCACCCCTTCCACCACATGGGGGCACAGTGAGAAGATGCTGCCTATGAACCAGGCAATGGGTCCTTCTCAGACACCTAGTGACAGTGCCTAAAACTTGGACTTCACAGCTTCAGAACTGTAATAAATTTCTGTTGTCTATAAGCCACCCACTCTATAGCATTTTGTTACAACAACCAGAACAGACTAATAAGACAGACACCCATGGAAGCTCACTTGGTGAGACTGGCATATATTCATCTGAAGCCCTGATCAAGATAGGGAGTATTTCTGTCACCCCAGAAAATATGACTCACTATGCCCTTCCATGTCACTCTCAGTCTTCTCAGCATGCTATGCTTGAATGACAACCTCTGCCCCATGGACTGAGGGGCATCCTGAAGAAGGGAGCCCCCAACTTCTCAGCTGCATTC